TGAGGGAGAATTCCATGCTGTATTTGTCCTCCTGCATGTCCAGCCTTCCCTCGAAGGCGGCGACGGGATTGTTCTCCCCAAAGCGGAGGTTGAAGGTGGGCTCGTATCGCATCCCGCGTCCATCCTTGCTCGTCTTCAGCCCTGCGGTCATTGTCATCGCTTCATCGCCGTTGGTCAAGAAGCTCACATCTACGGATCGGATCCCTTCGTCGTTCGAATACTTGGCTGGAATGAGAGTATATGGTCAGCTCTTTCTATGTATTTCTTGTTCATGAGAATTTTACTATGGATACCGACCGATGGCGCCCAAGGTAGTAATCGGTGAGTGGAACGTGGCCTTGACGAGCCTGGCTGGCTGATCCCAGGTGTAGTAAACTCCAATTCGTCGATCGATGGCACTTCCGGGTGTATCCACCTTCACACTGCCTGAATAAACCCTCCCTTGTGTTCCAGCCTACAATATTGGAACAAATCCTGTGTTGAAAGGATCCCAGACTTTCTGCGTTAATAACTCGGAAAAGTGTTCCTAGCTTACGTCCTGATCATCGTAACGGTATTCGAAGATGTAATATTCGATGGAGTCAGTCTTGTCCATGTAGATGGACGCACTGTAAGGCCCCTTGAAGATGGTATCAGGGTATTGGATCTCAGCGCAGATCTCCATTCCCAAGGGGTCTGAGGTGACGGGGCCCGTGCAGCTCTTCCTCGTATTCACACCAACGGCTGTCGTGTCGTGCTTCTTCCCCAACATCTTGACTTCGGACGTTACTTCCAAAATGTCGACCTTCTTCTCAGGAGAGTCGATACGAAGGGAGACCAGTTTCCGGCCCTTGATGTCGACTCGGCCAGATGCAAATGTGGACGTGAAGAGGCGACTGGTGAAAGCCACACCGGATTCCATCCCTGGGGATACTTCCACTCGCATTACTCCGTTCATCTCCACCGTTGCGCTAGAGGGAGAGAGTAGATTCATGCGTCAATTAGGCCGTTTAACCATCATAATTCTTCCTGTAATATATGGCATCAATTCATCACTGTATTTCGCCATCGTAGAATATATAATAAATCATCTTCAAATCAAGCTAAATCACATTTTCTAAAGTTGCGTAATTCTTCAATGCTTACCAATTACCAAAAGATCATGTCTTAAAAATGGCTGGAAGGAGCTGAAAAAGAGCATGTTGCTCTTTTTCCAAAGATCCTCATTGGAACTTAATACTTTGTGTTTTCTGGGGAAAGTCAGGTAGGTCACANCTTACGAATTACCAAAAGATCATGTCTTAAAAATGGCTGGAAGGAGCTGAAAAAGAGCATGTTGCTCTTTTTCCAAAGATCCTCATTGGAACTTAATACTTTGTGTTTTCTGGGGAAAGTCAGGTAGGTCACATACCTTGGTGTAATTTCTCCCTGGAGATGGACATTGCCTAGATTCCATTCCTTGAAGTCGGCGTTTCCATGCGCCCTAAGGCGAACGGTGGCGGTCCCGTTAACTCCCAAGGTCAAGGGGAAGCCGTTGCCCAAGGGGATGGTGAGGTGGATGTTGAGGAATCGCATGTGCTTGGTCACGTCCATGTCCTGGCCACTGGTCAGCATGTGAAGGACTCCGAAGGGGTTGAGTCCGGCCATCTTGTTGTGAAGCCGTTGCCCAAGGGGATGGTGAGGTGGATGTTGAGGAATCGCATGTGCTTGGTCACGTCCATGTCCTGGCCACTGGTCAGCATGTGAAGGACTCCGAAGGGGTTGAGTCCGGTCATCTTGTTGTTCAGATCTTCCATATCCTCGAATCGGCTGTAGGCGATTTCGTTTCCGAACACCTAGAGAAAAAGTCTTGCTCAAGCATTTGGCCCTGCCGATTTTTTCCAGAGTGAAATCTGGTAGGCTTACTCTGAGAAATGCAGATCCTTTGGGGCTGTCGTCGTCAGCTGCTTTGTAGATGTCATCGGCTGTGTCCCTCTTGAACCTGAAGGCTTGCAGAGCCTCGGCGACCTTCTCTTCCGGCATGGCTCCATCAGGACCAAAGAATTTCTCGAGCAGAGGCTCCAGCCCCTCCACACGTCCTCCGACATCCAACAGATTCACAGACTCCCCAAATAGATGGACAGTGAGGTTAAGGCTTGCGGATCGAGGAACGAAGCTTCGGGTCGAGAAGATGACATTGCTCTCCGCCTGGGCGCCGGCACCAAGGGCGTCAGAGAAGAAGGATCCCTCGAAGTTTCGAGAGAACTTCCTTGCGTCAGTGTTGAACTTGTTCTGGAGGAATTCGGAGGCCAGGAGGTCTCGGGCATATTGTTTGCTAGGGTCAGAACTCTCTTGGATGTTGGTCAGGTGGGTCCAGACGAAAGAGCCGACTGCAAATTGAACACCTCATTTTGCACATGCTGAATATTTTTGACAGGAAACGGTACAGGCTGATGAATCCATACCTTGGTTGACTGGTTCGGTATGTTGGTCAGGTGGGTCCAGACGAAAGAGCCGACTGCAAATTGAACACCTCATTTTGCACATGCTGAATATTTTTGACAGGAAATGGTACAGGCTGATGAATCCATACCTTGGTTGACTGGTTCGGCCTCGAGAGCATCTCTGACAGAGTCAACGACCGAGGTGGTTGGGCATTTCATCAAGGCCAAATAGGCAGCAATCCTGAGTTCAGAGTCCTGCATGGTATCCTTGTAGACCTCAAGAAGGGGTGTTTGAGTTTCGAATTGGCAAGGAAGCCTTCTGAAGGCATCCAATGCTGCCACACGTACTTCCATCGGATTCTCCTCCTGTTAAGAGAGTGTGCTCGTTTTTAGATCAAGAATCTGAAAGATGAAATTGTTTAGTGGTATTCGATGTTACCTTGGCGCACAAGACAAGGGTGGTGGGGTCAGAGAGCTTGACGCCGGCATTTCCGATGGCCTTGAGAGTGGCCAGTATAGTGGTCTTGTGTTCCTTGGAAGAAGGACGGCAGGCGGCTCCCAGGGTGGTTTCAAGGCGGCGCCTGATGCGATTCACTGGTTCGGAGGCGTCGCATTTTCCGGGTTCTTCTCTGCAGAAGCGGTGGACCATGGCAGAGACGCCCAGGAGAGCTTGTTGTCGGACTGGTTCGTCGAGAAGAGGCTATTGGGGGAAAACTGATTATAAGACAGAGGTATTACTAGAAATTTCTTGTTAAGCAAGGTTGATTCTGACCACTGAGGCGGCGATCATGTCTTCGGTGGGTCGGTTGATGAAGGCCAAGGATGTGAGCCAGGAGTCGGCTTCGAGATCGGACATTTTCCCAGTGATGATGAGGTCTCGGACGAGAGAAATGGCCGCAGTTGTGGACAGGTGTCCCAAAGCATCTCTCATGATCTTCCTGTAAAACGTAACGGATTTTTCTGTTTATCGGTCTTCCAGCGGAATCGCTGTCGATGGTGGATGAAGGGCGTACGAACCTGCTTCTTTCGGTCTTAGCAGCTTCCTCATAGACGTTTCGGAGTTTGTGGACATCCAAGTCCTGCAGTGTTGCCAGGAGTTGTCCAAACATGGCCGGAGAATCCTTCTGGGCTGAGATCAAGGTGGTTACCTCGAGGTCAGCGATCAGCTGCAGTGCCCGATCCTCCTCTCCTTCGCCTCTTGACTTTTGATCGTGCTCGAACAACAGCGTCGTCTGCTTTCCGATCATGTCTAAAAGAGACGAA